CCCCAAAACCCCAAAACCCCAAAACCCCAAAACCCCAAAACCCCAAAACCCCTCTCAGCCCATTAAGTTTGAATTTCTAATAAATAGAATAAACGAATTCTCTTCACTAATCTTCTCTCTGATCAAGTATGCAGAGTCCAAGGGCGTCAGCTCCGATCTCTGTGAGCCCGCTGATTTCACAAACTTTGCCTTGGAAGTCAGGGCCATAAATAGCTCCTGAAAATGGTCATTTGCATGATCCCTTATAAATATTCGATTTTTCTGGTGTCCCCGAACTTGAATATTTATAAAATCCTCCAGAAGTACGATTTCCCTAAACGATGATGCTTTAGCACTTACCAGGAGAGTCTCTGGGAACGGAGTGAGTGAGCCACAGCACACGAAGCCTAAAAATGGATTAGGAAACAAATTTAAAGGCTGAAACTTACCATTAGCTTCCTCTATTTTCGCAAATTCTTCGATATTAAAGCTGAGTTTGACCTTATTAGACCCTTTCTTCTGGAACGCAGCATAATATTTCTTGTACTGAGTGACTAGCTCTGGCTTACTTGAGAAAACCTATTAGTTGTGAAAAGGTGAGTAGGGAGAAGTAAGGAATTGAGTATTTCATGATAAAAGAGTTTATGGTATTTTTAAGCACTACAGCTTCCCTTAGTAAAAATGTTGGCGAAACCAGTTCTCACTGAAGCCCCTAATTAAAAAATCTGCAGTTTTATGCTTAATGCTAGGACTAAGAAATTTTCGGCCAAGAAAGCCTGCTCATTTTTAGAAACTCAAGTGGACTTACACCTTTAGACTCAAGGTCAAGAATACTTCTGGCTAAATGAGCAGCAGTGATGAAATTCTGTGCTTTGTAGCATAGAGTCATTGCATTCTTCAGAGCCAAGAACTTGTGGGAAGGATGCATCCTGCAGATAGTCATGAGTCAAACAAGTTCTAAGTTCTGAATAGTTGTGGTGGTCAGATCTTTGTCTCTTCTTTTGAGCTCAATTCTCATTGCAATAATGTACTCAACGCAGTTGTTGATGAGCTTCTTTATCTCCTGTTCTTCATCAGTGGTAGTGGCTACGGCCAGGACAGCGTGCTGAAGACACTTTTGGAAAGAAACAAGTGCTTCGTTGAAGTGTCCCTTTGTGACTTCGGAAAAACCTTCTTTGTAAATCTTCTTCAAGAATTCGTGGTCAATGATTCCTACTGGATTCTTCCCATCAGCCGTGCGAAGGAAAGAATTGATAGATGGGAATTTAGGTAAGGTAGGTAAGCTAATTTTAGAATTTGTGTGCACAAATGTGAAAATACTTCTTAGTGGTTTTGGATTTGAGAGTCCAATTTGTTTTCTAAGCAGATTTAAAGCCTCCTTGAAATTTCCAATTGCAACATGGTGAGCAGGAACCATAGAGTTTGACACTAATTGTAATAGAGGGTCATTTGATCGAGTTGGAGGAATAAATACTTCATCTTCTTCTTTTTGATTAATTTCATTATCCAAATCTGCAAGATCAGGATCAGCTCCTACTTCATCCTCTTCAAGCTCACCGAGAAGGTCTTCATCAAGATCAATGCCATCGTTATCTTGCCAGTTGTCTTCACCATCGAGGTCACCTGCTAGTAGGTCCATGTCATCTCCATGAGCAGCTTCTTCGCCTACAAGGTTGTCTTTGGTTTCATCTTCCTTGATGTCTTCTAAGAGATCTGAGATTCCTTGGCCACTGCTATCTCCAGTGGCAGTGGCATCGTAGAAGGTATCTTGAGTCTCAGTCTCATCTACTGTGTCTTGTAAATTACTCTGTAATAACATTGTATGAGGCCAATTAGCTGTGGTGAATGACTCATCTTCGATGAATACAGGTCGACAAGGAAGTAAGGCTTTAGCCTTACGGGCTCTTTGCTCTACCTGTTCAGTGTAGTTATCTACTAGCTCAAGGTCTCTATTTTGTATTTCCTGCTCTATCAGTGGAATCAGGTCAGTCAGGTTATGAGCTTTGGCTGTAGTGTATGCTAAGGCAATCTGGCTTGACTGCATCAAAAGCTTGACTCTATCCCTGACGTTGCCAAGAAGAATGGAATTTTCAAAAATATCATTTTTGTTATTCATTTCCATTGCTATCGATTGCATTCTTTTGAGTTTTGATGTGCAACCCTGGGTTGCATAGAAGAACGATAGCTTGTTGAAAGCCTTCAAAGATTGATAAGATTTCTCAGCCACGTTCGCATACCCTTGGAGCATGGACTGCTCACTTAACTGAAGATAAGTCTCTTTCTCTTGAATCTCAGCTGCATTTTTGTATGCCTCCTGGATATTTCCACTGGAAAGAGCAAGGGAAAATCTATTCTTTGGGTCTTTTTCAAATAAGAGAGCTATATCAGCACAGTTTTCCTCTTTGAGATATTGGATAACAGAGTTGCCACTGAGCTGACCTCTCTTGAGAATCTGTATGACCTCATTAATCTTTCTCTTATTCAAGGCTACCTTTAACTCGTACTCAGATGTGTTGACAGTCTCTCTGGAGACTTTTCCCTCCCTGTTTATGTAAAACACGATTCCGTTGACAAATCCTGAGACGTAGACTGGGCTCTTGGTCGCTTTGAAGATTCCACTGATATTAGAGCTTGTGCTGTCTTCAGACATTTTGTCTGAGACAAGCAAGTACTTAATGTGAGAATATGTAGAGTAAATGAACCCATTTTCGTTATCAAAGCAACCAGATTTGATCTTGGTAGTCTCCTTTACTATACACAATGGCTTCAGATTTTTGGTACAGATCATTATCTGGTCTTTTGAAAACAAGGCAACATGACTCATGTTGGGTGACCAAAACACTCGAGTGATCTTAGGAAACTGCACCTCTGCTACAACTTTTCTTGCTGCAATATCAAAGAGAAGGACATCATTGTTGGACTTTAACAAGACTTTTCCGATAGTAGCTTGGAATATACCTTGAAGGGTATGCTTGGTGTTCCACTCTATCTTCTTGTTCCTCCCGTTAAAGAGGTAAATTACAAGGTTCCTCGATTTACTTAAAACACAGATCTTCTCTTTGGCAATGAAAACAGCTCCTTTTGAGGACTCGATCTTTCGTTGAATTGGAGTCGATGTCTTATCAAGAGTCTTGTTCATGAGAACCAAAATTGATAAGTTCAAATCACCTTTGTAGTTCAGAATAACATCATGATTGGAGGTATCAAAGTGATTGTAGTTGAGACTACAAGGCTGGTTGTTCAATACCGCCTTTCCCTCAATTTCAAGATTTGCTTGAGGAAGACTTTCCATATTAGTCAGATCCTCAACCATGAGTACCTTGTTTTTGACATAGAATAGCTGGTTTCCGACTCTTGCGTGGTCAAATCTCTCTGACTCTAATTTGAAGACTGACATTCCTTTATCATATCCTCAGGCAAAATAGTTGGAGGTAGGGTGCATCGCCAGGACCCAAAATCTCTCTGTATCCTTTTTGAGAGTGTAGATACATGTTCTAGCATTTAGATCCCAAACCTTCATTGTTCTGTCTTCAGAATTGGATACTAATACATCAAGCTTTGGATGGAAAGCAACACATGAGACATTGTTTTGATGCCCTTTGAGAGTATCCAATTCCCAAGCTCTAGATCCACTCATCCTCCAGAGCTTGATGAGCTTGTCATCAGCTCCAGAAGCGATGAGGCCTCTGGAGGGATGAAAACATGCGAAATTAACTCCTTTCTCGTGACCTTCACAAATATGCTTGACTTCGACCTCAGTGCCAGTGTACATTAAATCAGTTTTCTTGGAATCTCCTGCATACTTTTGGTGCTTTTCCTTGAGTTCCGAGTAATCCCAGACGTACACCTTGTTGTCCAACGAAGAAGACAAGATAAGGTTGTCTTCTGGGTGAAACTCAGCACTCATCACATAATGAGTATGCCCAGTCAGAACCGCTATATTGCTTCTATTCTGCCAGTTCCACAGCCTGATGGTCTGGTCATCTGAGGTAGAAATAATCCAAGGCAGTTCATGGTGGAACTTGACCATTCTTATATAATCTATATGGCCACTAAGAATGAAGAGGCACTTCTTCTTGTTGTAATCCCAAACCCTGATCTTCTGGTCATCTCCTGCGCTTGTAAACAAAGGTTGTGTGCGGTGGAAATCAACACTCCTAACAGGACCTATAGGTTAGAGGTTCAGATATGCTTTTTGAAAATATCCCAGAAATGTGCTTACCTTCATGATCAGAGAACTTCTCAATGATGACTCCAACCCTGTAGTCAAAGAGTTGGATAATACCATTGTGGAGAGATACCAAGATCCACGGCTTCGTTGGATGAAAGCACAGTCCTTTAACTCTCTTGCTCTTTATCTCAAACTTATTGATCAACATTTTTTAGATTTAATATTAAATTATTCCTAATCATTCTTAACAGGAGGGGTTTTGGGGTTTTGGGGTTTTGGGGTTTTGGGGTTTTGGGG